ATCATGGCCCAGCCAAATTGATACACACATTTTTTGAGGGACATAATTCAAACCATGACACTCTCCGACTCCTCAGCATCTGCAAGACCTAAATACCCACGGTTTCTAGTATCGGGGCCTTTAATACATTTACTGATGATTACCTTATTGTTCAGTTATTCTTATGCATTAAAAAACAAAAACAAAAACCCATGCTTGGCGTGGTAAAACAACAACCATCTTATTATGATCACAGATTCTGTGGGTCCAGAATTCAGACAGGGCTCATCACAGTGGGCATGGCTCGTCTCTGCTCCATGGTATCAGGGCTTCAGCTGAGAGACTCAGATGGTTGGTGGGGGTAGGGTGGAGGGTTGACTGAAACAGCTGGGAGCTGGAATTATCTGGAAGCCCCTTCACGCTCATGTTTGATGCCTAAACTGGAATGACCCAAAGGCTAGGTTCATATAAGACTATTAGCGCATCTTACACATAGTTACTCCATGTGACTTGGGCTTGTCAAAACATCATAATGTCTGAGTTCTGAGTGGGAGTGTCCTGAGAGGAAGCTTCTAGAAAGCAAGTGTTCCAAGAAAACCAGATAGAAGCTGCATGGCTTTTTATGACCTAGCCCCAGAATCCACATAGTGACATTATCTACCATACTGTATTGGTTGAATCAGTCAGAAGCCTTCCCAGATTAAAGGGGAGCGGACATAGGACCTACCTTTTGATGGGAGAACTGTCAAAGATTTGTGGCCATTTTGATTGAATCACCACACTCTGTTCAGCAAGCTGAAGTGACACATCTCTTATCTACACAGATGTCATTGTTGGAGGTGGACATCTGAGCAAGTGTGTAATACTCATGTAAATTAAATAGACAAATATTTGTATTTTATAACAGCAGTGGGTGAGTTTTGGAGAAAAGTACTATTTTTACGGATAGATATGGTCAGAGAAACTTACCTAGTTCATCCAACCAACTCACATGCCAAAAGTGAGATTTCAGGAGCTATGTTTATAAAGGGCAGGAAAAGAGATTTTAGGTAGAAAGAAAGAAGGTATACATCTCAGCATGGGTCTGATCTCAGAAAAATCTGGGAGACAATTTGTGAATTGCCTGGGAGGATCAAAGAACTGAAGAAGAAAACTGAAATGAAATAAGTAGCTTGACCTGCTGAAGAGTTAGACAAGAGAATCTAAAACATGTTGATGGATTGGGCCCCAATGGATCACAAAAGTTTATTATAGGGAGGCGTCCTCATCAAAGTCCTGGATCTAGAGTCAGACTAGACTGACTACCACTTCAAATTGTGTGGCCTTAGACAAGTCACTTGAACTCTTAAGACTCAAGTTTCCTCATCTGTAAAATACAGGTTAAAAATGCCTACTCTACAAGACTGTATGAGGATTAAATGAGATTATGTAAAGACAGTGTGCTAGCTAGCACATAGTAAGCACTCAGGAAATGTTTGTTGACTCAGCTTCTGAAGATGAAAATTTTACCCAAACCATCTCGCAGATGTTGAGTCAAGAAGTCAGGAGCATTTCCGATGCTCCTCCACCCTTCTTTGAAGCCACGAACCTGTGTGCTTGTTTTGTGTGAGAACCCATAGTGTAGTAGTAGTAGAAACAAAAGGTCAGCCATTAGAATATTTTCTTAGCTAGTTCAATTTCATTATATGCTAATAAGGCTGTCAGTATTTTTCTCCCTTGAGCAAAGAGCCGGATTTCACTATGAATTCATATTGGCCCAGATGGCCTTGAGATCAGGGATACTGTATATTGCCTACACTTGGACAGTTTTTACAATCGAAGGTGGTCTCAAGAAACAAATCAATGTACTGACTTGGCAATTGATTCTTGCTAAAAAGGAAATATAGTTTCCTTGAAAAATTGGTTTAATTTTTATATTCAAACTTACATGCCCCTTGACCTGCTCTTATCAGTGAAGGTTAAACAGAGGGCACTGGGTCATGGCATGCTGGACGCGACTAATTAAATAGGACTGAGCTGAGAAGGTGTCACCACTTGATTTAAAGGAGCAAAGCCCCCCTGAAGTCTCTTTGGGGCTTAAAAATATATATGTGGTTTTTTTGTCTCAAGACTGCAATACAGAAGGTGCTCTTAAAATTTTATGGTGATTTTATTTCAGCAATACTCACTAAAATACTCACCCGCTGTTAGGCAGAGTGAATTTATTAGAACTTCCAAGCTGCAGTGTTTCTAACCTGGTTCAAGCCCACCAAGACCTCAAATCAGGAGATGAGTTTGAAACGCTGCCTTTTCCCACAGGCCAGCAGCGGTGCTTCATTCCAGCGCGGGGCTGCGAGTGTATTCTGTGGGCTTCACCTCTCCCCTTTGCCCTCCTGTCGCTCTGTCTCTCTGACATGTTTATTAAATAGAAGCTTCAGGCTGCACAGACAGACTCAGACTCTCCTCCTGAGTCACCCACCGCCGACAGCCCTTTGCCTGTCTGGAGAAAGGATCCCAGAAGCCTGATAGCTGAGGGAGTTTCATGGGTTTTGAGAGGCTTTTGGGGGATTTTTTACACTCTTGGGAGCCTTGAGTTTCTTGCGCTGTTTACTTGAGTAATAACTAGTTGTTATTTATATTTCTTTTCTGTTTGAACGTAGGTAACTAATTAGAAATGTGTTTTTATCCCTGTGTACAAGAAAATATTGTCTCCTTCAGAAAAAAAATAAAATAATGTATTGGCAGCTAGCTAGGTGGTAGACGTATGTCTTAATCCTCATGGTGCAGGCATTTGGTGCAGGCTCTATTTTCTGTCCCTTTTCTGGTTAAACTTTGCATTTATTATGGTTATTTATTAGCGCAAGAAGCCCTGAACTGAACTGTTAAGCATAGTGCTCTAGAAATTTCATATGCTTTGCCAGTGCTGTGGCAGAAAGCACACGGGGTCCAGTCTTACTTTGTGGTTTGCAGTCCTGGCTTTCCCTGCGCTGGGAGGTTCTCACTGCTCCTTGTCTTTGTCAGTCTATTGTAGGGGCAGAGGGCTTGTCCCTTGCATTCCGGCACATCGCCAGCTCCCTGCTGGGCCACTGCAGCCAAGTCTCCTGTGAAAGCCTCCTCCATGAGGTCATCATCTGTGTGGGCTACTTCACTGTCAACCACCCAGATAACCAGGTAAGAGGCCCCAGAAAGTTCCTTAGGCTGCTCCCCCATCGCTGAGAGTGTGAGGTATTGGAGTGAGAAAAGGCAGGCTAGCCTGCTGGAACCCATCTGTCCTGTGTGAGGCCCTTTACCAGGCTCCAGGGATATGCCTCTGGCTTCTTCTCTCCAAAGAGATTTGATCAGCACTAGATTAAAACTAGAGCCTCCTCTTAGAGCTATAAAAATAAAATGTTTTTAATAAAATATCCTTAGGCCACACAGAAGCATCTACTCCGTTATTACTTAGATTCTGTAGCACATACTCTGATGCCTTTGCGTCTGTTTTTTGTTTTGATAAGGTAGCTTGCATTGTTCAACTTGGGTCACTTTGCAAATAACATTAGTCTGGTGCTTTATGAAACTGTGGATCCTCTAAGCTCTTGGTTTCTGCCTGGGTGCTTAGAGGCTGCCAGATGGTGTTGGAGGAGAGGCTGAGGGCAAGGGTCTGGGCCTTTCCCCCTGGAGTCACCCCAGAGCAGTTTTGCTTTTACTATTTAAATTATTTGGTTTCTGAGCAAGATTTCATTTGTAAATAGAGTTTCGTTGCTTTAAGAAGTCAGGAGATCTGTGTTACAGATTTTGTAGAAAATAAAGAACCTTATTTCTCTTTATTTTTGAAACCAGAGTTACGACATAACTAACATATCAAATTATAATTGCTGACAGTCTCCTTTACCTAGAGCCTCCTAGTCACAACCTTAATTGCATGGATTATAGCTGAGAAGAGGGCCTCTGAACAACCCCTTAAACCTCATTCAAAGCCTGCTAATTTTTATTTTTGACAAATTTCTAACAAGCGTGATTATTAGGTTTATCAACCTGCAGCAAACTAGTCCAGGGCAGGGGAGGGACAGAAGATAGCTGTAGTGCCAGAGTCAAGTACAAGGTGAGAAACTGCATACAGAGCTGGAATTGCCTGCCTGACAAGGAGAAAGCAGATAGCAAAAATAGGACAAACCCAAGAACTCAAAAATCACAGCCATCTGGGCTCAAAGAGACATAAGCCCTGTATTCTTTTTCCCAGATGATTGTTGATGCCTCTAATGCTGACTCTGAGTGAGCATGCAGGTGAAATGGATGTTCAGTGCATTCCATTTGAGAGGGTTGAAGAGTATGCAATCCATCTTAGAAAGATTCCCATGGTTAAAATATAGAAAATATGGACACTTACTGAATAAGTATCATACATAGAAGACTTCTCCTTTTGCAGACCCTGGTGCCAAGAGGGCAGGTCATTCTGAGACAGGAGCATTCATGCAGCATTCCACCCTCACCGTCACCTCCAGGTGGAGGTGCTTTGACGTTTTCATGGACCAAACCCAACAGGTTCATGAGTTCCGTAGAAGCTGCTTAGGGGAGGAAAGTTGAGGGGAATCTCCCATGTGGTTTTCTTTTCTTCATGTGCATCCCATTCAACCTACTAAATTTACTAAATTGCATTTTATTTTCCTTTAAAAGTTTGTTTTTATTTTTCTAATTACAAAAGTATTTCACTTTCACCCTGAAAAAGGCAGATGTAAAGAAGGCAGTGGAATCAAAGTTATCCCCGATCTCACCATTCCGAGATAACCACTGTTAATATTTTGGCAAATTGCCTTCCAGTCTCTCTTCTGTGCATATTCTTACATAGTTGAGATCATACTGCATATACATTCATGTCCTGCATTATGCATTTAATATTATATCAGAATCACTCTTTGTGAATATCATTTTTAACGGCTGCATGGCTTTATCTTGTATGGACATCCCATGGTTTAGCCAACTACTTTCTGTTTTATACTTAAGTTGTTTACTATGTATTATGACATTATCTATTCTACTTGTAGAGAGGTGAGTAATTTGTATGTATTTGTTGTTAATTTCATCATCGGAGTTATTTTTATGATTTTATGATTGTGTATTTTTTTGTTTTTGTACATGTTAAAATATATCCGTAAGTTTATATGTAATGTTTCCAACTCCCAAAGACAAAGACCGGCTTTATAAAGTTACTGATAATAAAAGGCAATAATAATGAAAACTTAAAAAAATAATGAGGTATTCGACTCATGTCAGAACGGACTTACATCAGAACCAACTTAAGACAGAGTTGTCGGAACATAACCCCGTTGTAAGTTGGGTACTATCTGTATTTTGCTGTGTGAAGCTCTGCAGCAAAACGTTCAATTCTCTCAGCTTCTCCTCGGCTCAGGGATGGTCTGAAACTTTTTTCTTAAACCAACTTTGTTATGACAAGCTAACTGAATTCAGAATTGCATGAGAATTCCGAAGAGTTTTTCTGCTGATGCTGGATAACATAATAATCCTGTCTTACAGGTAAAATACAGGCTTTCAGTATCTCTGGGCTCTCCAGAGTGAATGGGGAGTGGAGTCAGGGGAACTCATAGTTGAAGATGGCATGTTTGAATTGACCTGAACCTGATGGAGAAAGTGATGACTGGGCATAGCTGGGATATGAAAAAACACAGATCAACTGGATGGAGCGAGCATTAGGTAATACGAGGAGGAGGAGACAGAGACCCTATGGCTTGTCAGGTGGGGAAGAAGTGGATGCAGTGGGACCTGGAGATAATTGTGGAGAAGTGAGCTCACTATCAGGAAGAAATTAGATAAGTGAAAAAAGCCAGACCTTGTGTTTCAACACCTTGCCTCTGAGAAGGACTGAATACGAAACTCAAACTCGGTATCCACTTCTGATTCAGGGGAAGATCAGAGAAGTCAGTTTAGCCCCAGGGCAGTTGCTGTAATGCAACAATCTATGAGAAGAAAGAATATAATAAAAAGTAGAAAAGAAGAAATAGATGGAAATTATAGTTGTTGTAAAAAGCTGAGAACTGCAACTTATGAAATTGTTATTTCTAAGCGTAACCCTGATATGTGTAGAGTTCTTCATACTATCCTTGCCATCTGTTATCTCTTGGACATCATTAGCACTTCAGTGAGCCTATAAGTACTGAAATTATTCCTGCTTCACAAACAGGTGAAGAATTGGGGCTCAGAAGGGTGAAGTGTTGTTGTGGTTGTTAGCTGCCCTTAAGTCAATTCCTGTGTACTACAGAACAAAGCACTACCCAGTCCTGCACCATCCTCATGATTGTTGCTGTACTTGAGCCCGTTGTCGCAGCCACTGTGTCCATCCATCTCATCAAGGCTCTTCCTCTTTTTCGCTGACCCTGTACTTCACCAGGCATGATGTCCTTCCCCAGGGACTGCTCCCTCCTGATAACATGTCCAAAGTATGTGAGGCAAAGTCTCACGATTCTTGCTTCTAAGGAGCATTCTGGCTGTACTTCGTCCAAGACAGATTTGTTTGTTCTTCTGGAAGTCCATGGTATATTGAATTTTTTCTTCACTTCTTTCAGCTTGAAAAATGCCAAGTGTGTTGTTCCTTTTTGGTTTTCTAACTCTAGGTCTTTGCACATCTCATTATAATACTTTACTTTGTCTTCTCGAGCTGCCCTTTGAAATCTTCTGTTCAGCTCTTTTACTTCATCATTTCTTCCTTTTGCTTTAGCTACTCGACATTCAAGAGCAAGTTTCAGGGTCTCTTCTGACATCCATTTCGGTCTTTTCTTTCTTTTCTTGCTTTCTTCATGTATGGTGTCCTTGATATTCCACAACTCGTCTGGGCTTCAGTCATTAGTGTCAACACGTCAAATCTATTCTTGAGACGGTCTTGAAATTCAGGTGGGATATACTCAACGTCATACTTTGGCTCTGGTGAACTTGTTCTAATTTTCTTCAACTTCAACTTGAACTTGCATATGAACAATTGATGGTCTGTTCCACAGTCAGCCCCTGGCCTTGTTCTAACTGGTAATCTTAAGCTTTTCCATTGTCTTTTTCCACAGATGTAGTCTGTTTGATTCCTGTGTATTCCATCTGACAATTTACACGAGCATAGTCACCATTTATGTTGTTGGAAAAGGTATTTGCAATTAAGAAGTTGTTGGTCTTGCAAAATTCTGTTGTGCAAGTTTTGGCATCGTTACTGTCACCAAGACCACATTTTCCAACTGCCAATCCTTCTTTGTATCCAACTTGCATTCCAGTCGCCAGTAATTATCAATTCATCTTAATCGCATGTTTGATCAATTTCAGACTGCACAAGTTGGTAAAAATCTTCAATTTCTTCTTCTTTGGCTTTAGTGGTTGGTGCATAAATTTGAATAATAGTCGTATTAACTGGTCTTCCTTGTAGGCATATGGATATTATCCTATCACTGACAGCGTTGTACTTCAGGATAGATCTTGAAATGTTCATTTTTACGATGAATGCAACACTGTTCCTCTTCAGTCTGTCATTCCCAGCATAGTAGACCATACGATTGTCTGATTCAAAATGGCCAATACCAGTCCATTTCAGCTCACTAATGCCTAGGATGTCAATCTTTATGTGTTCCATTTCATTTCTGATGATTTCCAATTTTCCTAGATTCATACTTCGTACATTCCACATTTCTATTTTTAATGGATGTTTGCAGCTGTTTCTTCTCATTTTGAGTCATGCCGCATCAGCAGATGAAGGTCCCAAAAGCTTGACTGCATCCACTTCATTAAGGTTGACTCTGCTTTGAGGAGGCAGCTCTTCTTCAGTCATATCTTGAGTGCCTTCCAACCTGAGGGGATCATCTTCCAGCACTGTTATCAGACAGTTTTCCACTGCTATTCATAAGGTTTTCACTGCTAATTTTTTCAGAAGTAGACTGCCAGGTCCTTCTTCCTAGTCTGTCTTAGTTTGGAAGCTTAGCTGAAACCTGTCCACCATGGGTGACCCTGCTAGTATTTGAAATATCGGTGGCATAACTTCCAGCATCACAGCAACGCACAGGCCACCACAGTACAACAAACTACAGTCGCATGGGGAGAGGTGAAGTAAGCCCCCTGAAATGACAGAGAATTGCTAGAAGACAAGAAGAATCCAGGTCTTACGGAGCCCAACTCAACGTACTTTTGACTTCATCTCACATTTC